GTCTATGAGAACCTTCATCATCACCATCTCTTTTTTCTTAAGAAACTGACATTGGGATTTATTGTAAACAAAGGCCAGTAGTAAGTCTTTCCAGTTAACGTAAACAAAGTATTTAACGTGCAGGTACAAATCCGTACAGTGCCGCTTAGCAGTCTTCCTAAAGACGTGCACCTACCTTCAAATGCTGAAGGTCTTGTTTGTTAGTGGGAGGAAATTTGCTGAGAGCACTACTGGCATTTTTTTCCTTAGTTATGTCTCTGACCTTGCTGTCCCAGTTTTCCTACCAGTATTAATAAAATGGAAATAAGAATATCAGATGCCTTTAATCTTCACAAGACGTGAAGAGACAGAAGTTATTTTTCTACTGGATAAAGGCAAAAGACATGGAGATCTGTTAAAATTTAGAGAAATTAAAGTTTTCCCTATTTGTGAAGGTCACATAGGAAACACATAGATTAAGTACTGTGAACTGTCAAACCTTCTTTTTGCCAGTGGATACCTATTTTCCCTCTAACTTTTCCTAAACTGTAAAGAAAAAAAGGTGGCTGAGGGGATATAGGGCAAAATTTGACATTTGTCTTTTATGAGTTGTGCTTTGTTTCCAAGTTGAGTAACAAAGAATAGGAGAGGAACACAGCTCTTTATTTTATTTTTAAAATATGTATTTATTTATTTATTCTTGGTTTTTTGAGACAGGGCCTTGCTATGCAGGTCATACTGGAATTGAAGTCACTATATAGCCCAGGCTGGTCTTATGGTGATCCTCCTGCCTCAGCCTCCTGAATGCTGGCACTTCATTTTATGTTTTTCTTTCTTTGGTACCGGGAATCAAACTCAGGACCTTGAGCTTGCCAAACAGGCACTTGTGCCACTGAGCTATATCCCCAGCCCTGCCAGTTAATTTTAAAGGCAGGAGAAGCAAGCAGGAACTTTTCATTTCATTTAATAGGTGCCATGTGACTTTCTCCTTGACGTATACCTTTTTTTTCTCCTCTCCTCTAGTGCTCTTGAAAAGAAGATAAATTCACTGGTTTTGCAGCAAACCGAATGGGGCTTCAGTTGTCATGGGTGTAACCAGTGAGGTGTCAGTGTCACACTCCGGAGTAAAACTGTTGCTAGACAAAATGATGCCCAGTGAGTTGAAGCAGGATGCATGTTCAAATCCCCATGTCGGGGCTGCTTGGGAGACCACAGGATCTGAGAAAGAGAGCTCCAGTCATACTCAGCAGTGCAGCCCGCAAATAAAACGTCTTTGTCCTGAGAGTGCTCGCAAGCACTTCCGGAGCTTCTGTTGGCGTGAAGCAGCTGGACTGCTCGAAGCTCTCAGTCAACTTCAAGAATTATGCCATCAGTGGCTGAGGCCAGACATCCACTCAAAAGAGCAGATCTTGGAACTGCTGGTGCTTGAGCAGTTCCTGACCATTCTGCCCAGGGAAATCCAGGACTGGGTGCAGAAACATCATCCGGAGAACATCAGACAGGCTGTGGTCCTGGTAGAATGCTTGCAGAGAGAATCAGATGGAACAAAGAATGAGGTGAGAAGAAAGATTCCTTGTCGGGTACGAACCGTGAAGCAGGGCAGGGGTACAAATCTCTAGGTGGGAGCTTATCCGGGGATGAGATGGATTAATTCACATTTCTCTTATTCTGCTAAGGGATCCAGGCAGGATCTGACATCACAGTCATGCAGCAAATATTCCACAAGTTGCAGAATTGCTGGTGGAATCTTTCCTGGCCTTAGAGGAAAAAAAATGCATTTTCCCGTCTTTAGGGCCAGGATGATTGACCTTGGTAGGCTTTGTCTGGCATGGATGAGGAGATAAGACCTGAGATCTTAGGAACAGAACTAAAAGACAAGAAAGAGTTGGAAAATGGGAAAAATTCTCAAAAACTGGGCAGCATTTACAGAGGAAAGTGAGTGTAGCAAACAGAAGAAAAAATCCAACACCTCTGGGTAGACTGCACAGGAAGGGAAAAAATGCAAAGCAAAAGGGGAAATGGTGATTTGCACAGAAGAAAAGACCTACAGACCAGTGGAGGGGATCAGGATGCTGGCGGGCTTTTGTCCTCTGTATCAGGAGCACAGGCCTGTGAGCTTGGAGAAAGAGCCCTCCCATAGAGGCAGCACCTGTCCTTGGCATTGCTAGTGACTGGGGAACCAAGGTAGGCCCTTAGGAGATAGTCGCACCCTATGTTTCCGTGGGAGCCCACCTTGCACCTTGAAGATAAGGCAGAGCATATTTATGGTGTCTCACTGCAACCAAGTCATGGGGAGAAAGACTGGAGCCCATCTCTTCCCGTGTTTCTCACTCCATTCCATTGTCTTTCCCATAACATCCTTCTTCTTCTATAGGAAGGATGAAACATCTGACCAACAGGGAAACAAATTTAATTCCCTATCTTTTAGAGAAAATGCAAAGATAGAAATCCACTAAGGCATGGACCCAAGTTAAAAGAAAGTAAGCTGACAGAAGCAGTGTGAGAATAGATGACCTTCAAAAAAAGCTGCTAGTGGCTTGAACAGTGGCTGCATACACAGCGGTGGGAGGCTATTGGGTTGGGGAGGTTGGAAGTAGTCATAGCGTTTTTCTTTTAATTTTAGTTTTCCCATACACTATGTATAGTTCTTATGAGAACATAGTGACACAATATCTCATTGTTCTCTTTGTTACTTCCCCAATCTGGGCCCTATTCCCTCTGCCACCTCCCCTAAACTAAAAGTAAGGACTGTGCTAATGAGGATGGGGATTCTTTCCAGGTCGCAGCCCATGAGCTGGGAAAGCTGGCAGTGCTCTTGCGAGGAACAGCAGTGTCTCCAGGCCTCACATGGAAGCCAGCAGAACCCCAAGTAAAGGGTTTGTTCCAGAGAGAATGGTGGCATGCATACCACCTACTACAAGACCTGCTGGGCTGGCACACGTCCAAAGAAATCCAGGCTGTATATAAAAGAGGTGAGAAGCTTCATCATAATTCTCTTAGAAGGTGTGATAGCGATTGGTTTAGCTAGAATGGTGTACAGTGATGGCGAGCCTTCTAGAGCTTTGAGTGATAACCAGCAGCCTGCTGTGGCACGTGTGAGATTTTCACCACTACTATAGGAGAGTTTCAGGCTCCCTGGCATGCCGGCCATTATGTTTGCCAGGTGGGAGTGTAGCAGGTGGCCCATGATTGGAGTTGGTCTAAGTTGCAAGAATGACTTACAGCAATCCAAGTGCCAGAACCCTTAGATTCACTCCAGTCTTTGCTTCTTAGAAATTTGAGAGGAAAGAAAATGGAACATGGACAGGAGGGACTGCCACACCTTTGTAGGTGACATGGGAATTCAGATCAGGAATGTGCTGTGAAATGGTAGAATGTAAAGAACATTAGGTACCAGGAAAAAAAGCACGACAGGACAAAAACCTGTATTTCTTCCTGTATACCAGAGGACCTGAGTCCTTCGTTTTCAAACATCAGTTGTTCCCCAGCTTAATGAAAAACTTATTTGATGAAATTTCATCTATTTTATAGATTTTCTCTTATTGACTTATCTCACGAAATCTGGAGAAATTATAACCTGGGGAACTGGCTCAAGGCGTGGTGGATATATGCTTCTTATTTCCCATGAGAGGACCACTTCCAGAAGCCATACACATGTTTGTCCCAGTGACCCATCTTTCCCAAAGGTGTCCTGACATTCTGTATTTTAGAATTCAGATTAGGATGTTCATGAACAGAAAAGAGAAATTTTCTTTGGCTCCTTTTCACCTACAGCTATGCACACTCCACAGATTGTAGGCCTTTCTGGGGAGAAAAGCATCAGAGACCAGAAGATGGCATCTAAGTTCATGTTGCCTGAGTCCCAGGTGAGCTGTACTTTTTAGCTTTTCTGGGTGGCCATGTTTCTGCTTTTCCCTGCTGCCTGTCACTTGTTCTTCCCCACAGGTGTTCCACAGTGTGTTAGCTCCAAACATTCTCCGGGAAACTGGTGAATGGGAATTAGGTTCCTCCCAGGGTCTTTACTGGTCTGCTTGGTTCCTTCCTGTGTGCCTTCTCACTTTCCCCCACTCAATCTTGTACTGTTAATTTCTTCAGTATCCGTCCTCCCAGGTAATTCAGAGATGGGTGATTAGAAATCTTGCAGAGTGGCAGGTACTGAACTACAGCTCATTCCCCTCTTTAGAGTCTGCTGACATTTGAAGATGTGGCCGTGTATTTTTCTGAAGAAGAATGGCAGTTATTGGACCCTGCTCAGAAGACCCTCTACAGTGATGTAATGTGGGAAACATATGAGGCCGCCTCCTTTCTAGGTAAAGATTTTTCCTCCTCTCTGTGTACAAGTTGAGGAATAGGCTATATCCTCAGGTTATGGAAATTTTACCCCTGTGTTCCAGCATCTGGTTGTTCTCAACCTGATAATATGGGGGAAATGAAAGCTGTATCCAGATCCTTTTTAATGAATATATGTGTGTCACTTCCTTATTCTAAATAGAATTATTGATCTGTCATACTCTGGCTCTAACCTGGCAAACCCGCTTTTGCCTTAGCTTTCCCATCTTGGTTCAGGGTACTGACATTCACTCAACTCAGGCCAGAATCATCAATCACCCCACACTACCGTCTTTCTGTAGTACCTCACAGCTGATCTATCAGCAGATCTTCTTCATGCTGTGTTCACAACATCCCAAATCCAGCCATGTCGCCGCCCCTTTCAATTTAACTGTCCTAGTCTAAGCCACCCTCATGTCTAATCAGTCTGTCTTCACTAACCCTGGATTCCCATTGCACATATCATTCGTGCCTATCTTCCCTGGGCTCCCCCAGCTTCCTCAGTGCATATCCACCCTAGTGCGCAACAGAGTATAAAGAAATGATTGGATCCAAGATTTTGCCCCATTGAAGATTTGGAAATTTAAAAAGTATGAGTCTCTTCTTCTTCCTGAAAATAATAGCAAACTGAGGCGGCAGTTCATGACTTCAAAATTTTATTCCGCAAGCATGATTGATGCATTTTAAAATTAAAGTGATCTATTTGTCCCAGGGAAAAGGACCATAAATTCAAAGTCTCCAAGAATTCAAGGGCAGTGTTAGAGATTTCCTATAGGCAAATATATACATGAGAAAAGGAGAAACGTTCTTTGATAGGAACCTTTACTTTAAGATTCTGTTCCTGTATATTTATTTATTCAAGTTTTTTTATGACAGGGTCCTGCTATGTGTTCCTGTATTTTTAATTAATGTTACGTACTGAGATCATTTTTGATTCACATACAAATTTAAAATGTAATGTACTGGCTGGGCATAGTGGTACACACCTGTAATCCTAGCACTCAGGAGGCTGAAGCATAAGGATTGCTACAAGTTCGAGGCCAGCCTGGGCTAAAAAGTGAGTTCAAGTCCAACCTGAACTGCATATCAGAACCCTATCTCAAAATAAAAAACACCAAAAAATGTAGTATACAGAGAATCCATCCACTCACACCCAGTTTCTTGTAGGAACTTTTGCAAAAGTACTATATTACAGCAAGATACTCATACTGATATAACCTTCACATCTTATTCACATTTCTCCAGTTTTACTTGAATTAATTGGAGGGTATGTTTGTGTGTATATTTGTTCTATATGCTTTCATCACCTGTGTAGATTTGTACAATTGCCACTACCGTCAAAATCCTGAACATTTCCATTACCATATGGATCTCTGAGTTGCCCTTTTATAATCACAACTATTTCCCTCTCGCAAACCCATCAATCTGATTACATTTCTAAAATTTTGCTATTTGAAAAGTTTTATATGGATGAAAGTATAAGATATGTAGCTGCTTTGGATTAGCTTTTTAAAATTTTGTATAATTCTCTGTAAATTCATCGAAGTTGTTGCATATATCAATACCTCATATCTTTCCAATTGCTGAGTAGCATTCCCTATCACTGTTGACGCTTTACCCACTGAAAGATATCTTTGCTGCCTTCTTCTCTTGGCTATTTGAATACAGCTTCTAAGAATATTCATGTCCACGTTTTTCTGTTTGGTTTTCATTTCTCTGGGATAAATATTTCAAGGGTACAATTACTGGCTCATAAGATAATTACATGTTTAATGTATAGGAAACTGTCTGTTTTGTGTATGGCTGTAGCATTGTACATTCCCTCTCACAATGAACGAGCAATTCATTTTTTCTAAATCTGTGCCTGTGTTTAGTATTGGTAATTTTTATATTTTAGCCATTCTGATAGGTGCGTTGTGATATCCCATTATGTTTTTTATTTGCATTTCCTTAATGGCTAAAGATATTTTAAATCTTCATGACCTTGTTTGCCATCTCTGTATCCTCTTCAGTGAAATGTCTTTTGCCCACATTTTAACTGGATTTTTTAACTACTGAGTGTGAGTATTCTTTGTATTCTAGAATACTTTGTCAGTTGTATGGTTTGCTGTCAGTTTCTTCTAGTCTCTTTATTGTCTTGCTATGGGTTTCCATAGAGTAATGTTTTCATTTTGATGAGAAGCAATTGTCTTTTCTATTACACGTTGTGCTTTTGGTGTCAGGTCTAGAACACTGATTAGCTTTGCCTCAGATCCCTATAGTTTTCTTCTAAAACTTATCATTTTATGTTTTACATTTAAGTCCACGATCCATTTTGAGTTTATTTCATATAAGGTGTGAAGTTTAGGTTGAGACTCTTTTTGCCTGTGGAAGTCCAATTGCTTGAAGGTTATTCGGCATTTGTTGAATTGCTCCATTGAGGTGCTTTTGTGGTTTTTGTGGAGCATAAGCTGGGAAGAGTATTTCTAAACTACTCCATTGAACTATGTGTCTCCTTCTCTGAATATTGCACTCTTGATTATTGTAATTGTATAGGAAACCTTAGTATCTTTTGGGCAGAGTGATTCCCCCTCCACACTTTATTCCCCTTTGTCAAGATCTTTTTAGCTGTTTTCAGCCCTGTGCCTTTCCTCGTAAATTTCAGAGAAAGTTTATCTAAGTCTAAAATAAATTTTGTTGAGATTTTGCCAGAAATTACATTAAACCTATACACAGTAATTTGAAGATTGATGCTTAATTACTTTTCTTCTTTGATTTCATTCATTACCTTTTTGTAATTTTCAGTGTATTTATACTCTTCATTTTTAAAGTATATGCCTAAGCTTTTCATTATCATTGGAATAATTGTAAAGGTACTATTTTTAATTTTTTCTGCATGTTTATTGTGTTTTATACAGGAATGCCATGGATCTTGTATCTTGTGACTATCCTGAATTCACTTATAAGTTCTAAGTATTTTTTTACTTATACATTTCATGGGATTTTCTACATAGGCAATTGAGAAATCTAGAATGCTTTTTTTTTATAGCTTTATTACACTAGTCTGACTTCTAGTACTGTACTGAATTAAAGTGATAAGAGAAGACATGCTTGCCTTATTCTCAGTTTTACATGAACACATTCAGTCTTTCATCATTATAGTACTGGGCTTTTTGTTGATATTCTTTATCAAGTTGATATAATTCCTAACTTTATGAGGGTTTTTTTTTTATCATGAATCGATGTGGGACTTTGTGAAATAATTTTTCCATGTCAGTTGATAGCAGCATATCATGTTTTTTCTTTAGTTTACTAAAATGATGGATTGCATTTATTTTCAAGTGCTGAACAAGCCTTGTATGCCTGTAATAAATTCTAATTTATCATGGTATATAATTTAGTTGCATTAAGTTAATTAATATTTTGTTAACCATTTTTTTGAGACAAGATCTCACTATGTTGTGCAGGCTGGTCTTGAACTCACTATGTATCCTAGACTGGCCTCAAATTCACAGCAGTCCTCCTGCCTCAGCCTCCTGAGTGCTAGAATTAGAAGCGTACAACATCACACCTATGTTGACAAATTTTATATTTCAGTTTGTCGGAGATGTTAGCCTATAACTTTGTCTTTTAGTACTCTTTGTGTGGTTTTGCTGTCAGCATAATACTAGTCCTAAAAACGAGTTGAGTGATATTTCCTCCTTTTTTCTGGAAGAGATTATAAACAATTGTTAATTCTTTACATATTTGTTAGACTCCTGCAGTGACACCATTTGGACCTGGAGTGTTTTTTTCAGGCTGAGTTATAAAATTATGAATTATTTTAATGGTGTTAGTGTTCTTCAGGTTATCTGTTTCATACTGGTTGCATTCTGGTAGTTTTCAAGGAATTGGTCCATTTTTACTCACTGTTTAAATTCATGAACAAAAAGTTCAGAGTACCATGGTATTTTGGTTTACGAATTTCATTTATTGTTTTATTTTGGGGAAGGTGTCTGTGGTCATGTTTGTCACCCAGTGCAGAATTTGCGAATGGAAGCAAAATTTTGACAAATGCTTTTGTTTGTAAACAGAGTCACCTGCAAACAGAAGCATTCGAGAACCGAGTTATTACTGTACTCACTTATTTTAATTGCTGCAGAGTATGTAATAATACACACCTCTCCCTTCCTCTGCATCTTCCTTTCTGGTGTGCATCCTTCTTTTTTTTTTTTTTTTTTTGGTTTTTTTCTCCGGTACCGGGAACCGAACTCATGACCTTGCGCTTGCCAGGCAGGCGCTTTGCCGCTGAGCTAAATCCCCAGCCCCTTTTTGATTGTTTGTTTGTTTGTTTTTTTTTGGGGGGGGGTGCATCCTTCTTTATGATGAGGCTTGTACTGTTTAGCCCAGATGGGCTTGAACTCGTGATTCTCCTGATTCAGCTTCTCTAGTAGCTGAGACTTTTGGCTGTTACATTCTTGACAATGATGTTCTATATCATTATTTTTGTTAGTCTGCATAAAGGTTTAGCTGTTTCATTAGTTTTTTTAACCAGAAGCTTTTTTTTTTTACTGCAATTTCTGCTCTTGTTCTTGTTGTTTCCCCTTTTAAGCCTGCTTTGCATTTATTCTCCTCTTTGTATAGTTTCTTGAGGTAGGAACTCAGATGATTAAATTGAGACCTTTCCTTTTTTTTCTATTGTAAGCACTTCGGACTACAGATTTTCCTCTGATCACACTCTTTAGTTGCCATTTATATATTTTCTTACACTTTCATTTCATTCCACTCTATTTTAAATTTTCCTTCTAGACTGTCTTTGAACTGTGGATTATCTAGAAATTGGTTGTTTTATTTCCACATGTATTCAGATTTTCCTTTTTTTGTTTTTCATTTTTAGTTTGATTACATTTTCTGTCTGAATTGCATTTCACAATGAAGTTGTGATTTTCTTCATTCTTCATCTGATGAATGATTTTTTTTACTGCTTCCTGATTCTTGTGTATATTATAAAAGTCTCGGTCCTATTAAATATTTTATTTTAAATGTTTAAATTAAACATTTACTGATACAACCTAAATGTTGGCGTGCAAGGTCTTTTGACTTTCGTCGAATATGCTTCCAATGACATTTCTAATTTTCAGAGCCTTTATGATATTAACTTTGGTTTATATGGTACTGGTGCTGAGACTCGTATGGGTCCCAACTGGTTTTACTTGAAGCTGTGGAAGGCGTTTCCCATGACCAGGGGATCTCTCAGAGGGGAAAAGGAATTGAGACCCACACAGATGAAGAGGCTTCCTAAGCCAGGTCCCTTATGTCTGGTTCACTCTTACTGGATATTCTCCTTCACTTTGGGATCTTTCATTCAAGAAAGGAAAGCTCAGGTCTATGATATTAAAGAGGCTTCTTTTGAATTTTCGTTCATTTGGCTGGTTTCTTGCCAGTTCTGCTTGTATATCTTGATATGTTGCAACTCGGGTTAGGGAAAATCTCTAGCCCAGTACGGAAGGTAAAAATCTCTCTTGGCTGCACACTGTGGATAGATTCCAGGCTGATCCCCTTTGCCAGTTGTATCTGGATTGCATGATATTGTCATAAGGTTTCCAAGTCAGGGCTGGGAAAGGAATTAGAATCCCTGTATCTGCATTACCTTCTTATGCTGGATGTTGGGGACTAAAACAGTCTACTATGTTATTCTTCCATTCTGGGGACCCCAAACTAGTTTGCTTCTTCCCGCTTTTTAGAATGCTCTTTGGGTTATTTCTTTCATTATTTAATGGGTTTGTTGTTGTGCCTAGCAGCGAGGATCAGGGAGAGATAGATTTCTGCCATTTTCTCAGACTAAACCATTGTTGATTTTTCTCTCCATTCATGTAGCTTTATGCTATTGGAAACATATTTGATTCTTCTATTTGTTCACAGGGTTAAAGCTCAAGAATGACACCAGAAATGATCAGTCTAAATCTACTTCTGCATCAGAAATACAAGCACCAGAATGCCAAGTATCAAAGAAGACCAGAATGAAGGTTGTCCAGAAAAGAGCAGCCAAAGAGAATCACAGTGATACTTGCAGGGTAGAGAAGCAGGGTCAGGGTTTTCCAAGGAAGAAGAGAAAGAAACTTTCAACTTGTAAGCAAAAGCTTCCAGAGCTTAGCGATCATCACAGGAAAGGTCACACAGGGGAGAAACCTTTTAAGTGTCAAGAATGTGAGAAAAGCTTCAGAGTTAGGTCTGGCCTTATTAAGCATCAGAGAGTTCACACTGAAGAGAAGCCCTATAAGTGTCAACAGTGTGAAAGGAGGTTTAGATGGAGTTCAGATCTTAATAAGCACTTCATGGCACATCAAGGAATAAAACCATATACATGTTCATGGTGTGGGAAAAGCTTTGGTCATAACACAAATCTACACACACACCAAAGAATTCACACAGGAGAGAAGCCTTTTAAGTGTGATGAATGTGGAAAAAGATTTATTCAGAACTCTCACCTTATTAAACACCAGAGAACCCACACAGGTGAGCAGCCTTTTACCTGTGGCATGTGCAAAAGAAACTTTAGCAGACGGTCCAGCCTTATTAGACACCAGAAGGTGCATAGAAGGGAAGCATGTCCAGTCTCTCCAGTCTGAGGAGGGTCACGTATAGAATAACAGAAGTGACGAAAGATTATACAATTGTGATGTGCCCAATGACAGGAATCTGTTACCAACAGGAAGTTTATGTCCTATGTCACAGAAATGAACCTAACTTGTCTCTTACTCAGCATTGTGTCTTCAGTCCTTAGCATAAGACTGATACTTTATAAGTTCTTTATAAATAAAAGGATACAAATGTAAATATAGCTCTTCATTTATATGTATTCATCTAGTTACTCAAAGCTTCACTCTCAGTAATATAAGTTCTTCAGGTATTAGGTGTTGAGTAAGTGTATGATGGCCATGAATTTTACTCTCCTTCTTCATTTTTTTCCTCAGGTGAGATAGAAAATAAAAATGTATCAGGTCATCTAAAGAGAGACTAGAAAGAATTACTAAGATTGGAACAGTCTCAGTGGTTATAATCCTATCTCTACTGACAGTCAAGCCCAGCACTCAGGGAAATTTAATCAGGGATAGAAAGAGAATTAAATATTTGCCTGGAAGAAGCAATGTCCATTGTAGTTGTCTCTCTCTTGAGAACGCACTACTGCTGTGTCTTCCATCAAATAGTTCCAAGCAGCAGGACAAGGCCTAAAGGCTAAAAAACCCAGGAACCTTACAAGAACTTGATGTTTCTCTCCTGTTGATCCTCTTAATATAGGTTCATAGACTAAAATGATAAGGGATGCAGTCTGGGTGTCTGCGTGTCTCATCCAGGTGTCTGTCTCTTTGTAGAAAGCATAGGGCAGTGGAGAATGGCCTTTTGGGCTTTATGTAAAGAAGAGGTTTTTAAATTGGCATGTACTATTCCAGAGCCTAGTGAAAGGTCCATTTTTATGACTGCTCAAATTTGTCCTTACACCTGAATGCTCTGTCAGAATGTCAGAGCATTTAGTTTAGTGAAAACGGCAAGAACAGCACTGGGGCTCTGCAGTCTTGGTGCACATCTGATACCAGGAGGAAGCATCCAGAAGCACCTTAGCAAAGTAAGGCATGTGCCATAAGGTTATGATCACAGTTGCCACCTGACCAGATGGAAACTCTTTCTTGATGTTTTTTCTTCCTTCTCAATTGATTATCTTTTAACAAAGAATGTGTTATCAAAAGAATTTGGAAGACACAGACTTCTAACTCAGAGCTTGGTTTATGATATTGGCCAACGCTTGTGTATTTTTATCTAGTATTTCATAAAATATTACTTTCTAATGAAAATGACACATTTCACATTAAACTTAAACATTAAGCAAAACTGCTTTCATTCTAAACCATCCAGAAGTTACTAATGTTCACTTTTATGGAATAGGTGCTTTTCAGATATTTTTCCAGGAGGAGATCATTCTGAGTTTCAGATTTGTGAAATAGGGAGAGTAACACTTACTTCTCAGGGCTGCTGTGAGGATTAAATGGGACACACATGTAAGCATGCCTAATAGAGTGACTGGCCGCAATAAATGTTCCATAAACAGTTGCAACATTCTTCACTTGTCTTTCACACCTGTTTAGAAAAGAAAGTAAACTTAGTGTGCTTGTTCAGCTTCTAAGCATACTAAAGTGACTTTTCCATCATTTCCAGCTGGTTTTTTGATGGTCAGAAGGGTCCCCCTGTAGCGTGACATTCCTTTTGAGACATGCTCCTGTGTACCTCTATAATCAGCATTAAACAGCAAGCTGATATCCCAGTTCAACTACATGCTCTGGACTTTGTAGAACCAAAATATTCTAGAAACTCTTAATTTGAGATGCCTGAAAATGGAGGGGAAGTGATAGCTAGGGGTAGAAATCGTGCAGACAATAGATACACTATTAGGTGCACTCTCCAACTAATGAAAGGGCTACTAAAAATGAAAGCACTAAGAGGCTGCAAAAAGAGGCTACAGACAAAAGAATGAAAGTGAAGTCAAGAGGCAGCAGTGACCGAAGAGGAAAGGATCCCATTATACTTCCAGAGGCTTCAGGACTGGCAATATGCCCATTCCTTGCCAGGGCTATCTGAGCTTATGCCCTTGGAACTAAGAAGGGGAAATTCACCTTCCCACAGAGGGCTCCACACTCCTGGTGTGAATACACATTTGTTCACATTTTTCTGTATGATTTCATACCACCATTCAAAGCACATTGATATATTAATGCAACTTTTGGAAAGATTAACTCAAAAATTAAGGGAAGTACTTTGACAGTGGGGCTAGTACAGTACTAACACTCAAAGTCCCTGAAAGTCGGCCAGCAGAAAGGACATTTTCACAAATCTGCCAAGACCTGTTGA